GCTCCGTAAATTGCAGTGACGCCGTCGCTGACGTGAGTATTCTGGGCTGCTGTTGGTTTTGGGGCTATGAAGCGATTGTGACCCATAGGGATGATGGGAAGTAATTTTGCCTGGCGATTTTTGTACCAGAATTTCCATCGTAAGAGGCGGTGGTTGCACAACATTAACTACAATCTTCCACCAAAATTTCAAAGCTCCCCTTACAGCAGTAATATATTTACATTAGCGCGAATACTATGGAATACGCTTTGCGAGTTGGCAGATAAATTATTTTGAAGGTCTCTCAAGGGCGATAAAACAGACTGAGCTAATATAGCTTAGAATAAACTGATTACCCTGTACGATTGTCCTCCACTAGTCAATCCGACGACGATTTTTTCAGCTGGTACTCCGCTGCTCAGCATCCTGTAAACAATCTATCTTGGGAAAGGAGAGGGGCTAACTGTTCTAAGAGCTATTAGAGAACGACATGCTCACTTGTCAACTGATCCACTGATCGTATCCTCCAGCGGAATCGAGTCGGACGGCATGAGGGGATCCACATGGCGCACCGAATAGGGATCTTCAGAGGACTGCAAATATTCACCCCTATATATCTTACTTACAGTAACTCGTAAAGGCTAACCTTAGAATGAAGCATGCTATCACACGTTTTTTTATGGGATCAAATCCCCATACGCACTCGCTTAGCTACTAACGCCTTTGATATATGCAGAGTCGGTCTATGGTACAAGACTCTCGCTCTAGTAAGGATCAACGTCAAAACGATGTGGATTAATCCCAGTCGACACCCGTTCAGCCAGCCAACCAACCCTTTCAATGATCTTTGGTACAGGGCGCGTTCGGGAGGCTGCAACAACTAGATCGACCTCCCCCCGGAATCCATTAGCCCAAAAAATCATTCATTTAGACGACTCTGAATGGAGGACCGATTCGTGGGCACACATCAAAGTAATTACCACCTAAATACCCTGTTCTCATGCTTTCCACCGCAGTTTGCAAGAAAGGGCATTCAGAAATTGAAACCTACTGGTAGTTCTTCCATGTCAAGGTATATGTGCTCAACATAGTCGGCAAATTCATAAAGTCGGTTTATGACCCGTAACATCCATCGAGGAGAAATCGCCAACGTCGTCTGAGAGGGCGCTCCTGATTGGGTCAATGACAAGGCCTGTAAACAGTACTCGTGTCAGTACTAACGTCATAACCCAGGAGAGAACAACTTACAGAAAGGAAGTGCTGTGAAGTGGATGACTCGAGAGGTGGCCCTTCCATGCGAAGGAACACGCCATCAAAATGCCTGCAATATAAAAGTCACATTAAAAGCGGATCCACTCCGTAAACATATGTCTTTTGATCATGTAGTGTTCCTTCTATTTTCATCTTCCAGTGTGATTACATGAGCCGACAGTCAGCAGACATTCTGGAAGAAGCCCTATGCCTTTGCCTCTCCTGACATTTGAAAGTGGCTTGTGCCACTGTTTGTTCCAGCACTACAATATGCATCTCAAATGCCCTCTAAGGTAGCTCCAAAACATAAAATCGTAGTCTCACAACGTTCGCTGTTGAGCCTACGGTATAGAAGTCATTAAAAAGGCGGGAGCAAAGGGGGTCTCGGTAGTCTAAGGGATAAGGACCCCTGTGCCCAGATAGACCAAATGAGGGTTCAAGTCTCGCTCATGGCCACAGTTTTATTCATGACTAGCAAAACTTGTGAACCTTTGGGCGGGTACTGCAGCGGAATAACAGCATCTACCAAAGGCTCGGGTCGAATCGTTTCATCCTACCCTTCGTTTTCTATTCAGAGCAAATCAGGAGGGGATCTCTTTTGAGTTATTATTCATTGCATCATTGTGCAGAGGCCATTAGAAGCAATTGTCGATCTGCCGGTTTCTCAACCAGTACTGTGGGTTCCAACTTGAATGTTTTCATTGACATGATGCCTACTTGCTTCAGATCAGACGTTTTTCTATTGCGACCGAGTGGAATGTCACGTAAAAAAACCGACACAATGCCAAAGTGCCGATGGCTCCTTATCCACTTGACCGTCGACACCTCCGTTAACGATCAAATGCCTCATGGGATTGCAGTAGGATAACCACATGCCGGCTGATCTTTACAAGTCATCTTATAGGTCAATAAGCACTCAAATGGAAGTCAAATACGTGAAAACCGCGCAAAACTGGATCGTTCAAGAAAAGAAATCTTCAATGTCCATTCTATACGGTATGGTATCGAAGAAGAAACTTGGGGAGGGAAACTTCCAATCTGAAACTTGCCACAGCAAATGACCAGTTTAACATACACATTCCCACTTGCTTGCTCTGCTACATTACCCATGTCCTCATTGTGAAATGGACTGTATGTGCAAATTAATTGCATGCCTAATATGCTTTACACAAAGGTTATTCGAAGAACCACAAGTTCTTTTTGCCACTGCTAATGACCTCATGTACATTGTGGATGTTCAAAGCAGCTGTTTAGTACGAACTACAACTAAAATGTGTTCCACCCATTTCTCCCTCTAACCATTGTTGGTAATGACAGTTGTGATACCCTGCAGTCTGAAAGCTCAAAAAACTCGCATATTTGGCGGTATAACTCGTCTCCGAAACATACAAGGAATGAAATTTGATGAGGATCGGCCTTCGAGAAGCAGTGGAAAACAGGTCTTGGTATGCTGAACACTCAAATGGCATAATGTTTGATGATTCTCTCTCCAGTGATCTCGTAGAACTTTATAGGACGGTGTACCTAACTCAGACCATTGGAAATTTTGGAAACATAACCTTTACCAATGTAATCATGTAGGAGGGACAACTAATCGAATGCTATCGTTCCTTAGAATTATTTACGAATATTTCATGACATCTGAGGAATACAAACCGGTTCCCGGGTAACTTTTTTCGGCCTCACAGAAATTGTACTACGGTTTTCTTCGCTGTAACGTCTCTAAAAGCACTCTACTGCCCCAAACGTCAAAGTTCGCCGGAAACCATCGACCAAACCACGTAGTTCTCCCGGGAAAGGAACGAATCCATTTCTAATGTGAAAGGTAGTTTTTTGCCAGCATTGGTTGTCGGCTTTTCTGGAATAATAGAAATTTTTAATGTCTTCTCATCCCCTTTCAGTTCAACTACTTTTTCGAACTCTTGCAATTCTCAGAATTTCCCTTCGAGTTGTGCTCGCATTTTTCTCCACAGTGGTCGGCGATCAACCGCATTGCACACTTGAATTTTTCCTTCGACAACTTTTTATCTGCTAATTCGTTCAAATCAAAACTGCCGATTAGTTTTCTTCCCTTTCGTACAGGTCTCTTTCGGCATATTACATAAAGAGCTCGTTATGACTCGACCCGGGGTTTTTCCCTACTCGGCTTTGTTTATCCAAATAAATTATCCCTAGATTGATTTTATCAGTCGAAATGCTGCTTATTGGTAGAGTAATCTAACAGTAGCGGTGCCTTCTACTTGTGCTCACCATAAAAGTGTTTTCTACATGCTGAATATGAGTCTTCCTCACCCTAGCGTCGTGACCAACATTTCCTGATTCATCATTTACTTACCATTTTGTTTTGCAGGTCAATTCCAAAACAACCACTCGGTTGCAAATGGATCCCTCGTTTCAGCAAACGCTTCAAAGAATGCGCGAGTGATTGTCAGGTTCCCATAACAGAACACCACCACCCAGGCAAGTGATCCATCATTAGAATTGAGATATTCGAAGGTAAAAAGATGAAAGTAATTTGCTTTCATCATTCCGCGTAAAGTGCAGCAAAAAGGTAGTAGTCGAGCCCCATTGATGTAATGGACGCGATTAATTACTTTTCTGTCAGACACAGTATTCCCTTCAATACCCCGTCGCTATAGTGAGACCTGGAAACGACAGTGGTTAAGTCGTTTTGAGTGCTCATCAACTTTCCAATTCAGTCACTCTATGCAATACCACAAGGAAGATAAAGGACAATGTTTTTAGGCGTTAATAAATCCCGTCTAAGGGATGCGCCTCCGCATTCGACTTTCATTCAGAATCGTAGTGGCGTATTGAATGGGTATGTGGCCTATGCAATGACTTGCGGTAGTCAGCCGATTAACAAGTCCTCTTTTATCCTTTAAAACGAGTCTGATACCAATTAACCGACCCCAAAAGGATGGAGGGCACAGTTGGCCTATGTCCGGTATCGATTTCTGGAATTCAAACCCGTGAACACGCATCTGAGATAGTGCGCCACTTACCACTGCCACACCTCCGCCATACCACAAGAAAGAACAACATCAGAAACGACCGGCCGAGCAACTCCCTATCATAGAATGAATCACCCCATCGAATGAACTCCTTGCGTAAATTCGGTAGCCAATGCCCTACACCCAAAATCAATTTATGGACTTGTTCGTATACGGCAGGTTTGGGTGTGGGCAGTTGTATCGGTTAATCTGACGTCTTCGGAGGAACACTTATCAAATAGGCATAAAATTAAGATGAGAAGGTGAATACCTTCAAGTAGCGATTGTCAGGGAAGTGTGTTCTGTACTCTATTAGTCGAATCGTTACCATTTATTGATACCTGATCGGATTTTTCCCATATTAGAGCTACTTATTCAGATTAAAGGCGGAGGTGGTTAAATGGCAAGTGGCGCACTATATCACACGCACGGTCAGGGGCAATTCCGGATCGATGCCCGCCTATACCAACCAAGCGTTCCATTCCTCCGGGGTCGGTGAATTGGTAGCAGATTCGTCTGGGAGAATAAAAGCACTGACTTGTACACCGGCTGGCCACTGCAAGTCATTGTATAGGCCACATACGCAGAGTGCGGGGGCGCATCCCTCAGACGAGATTGATTAACGCAAAGATCCTTTATCCTTATCCTTCATTCACATTATGCTCTGTTCCTAACCCACTATTCGTGGACCATTACGCCCAAGGGCACACATTGACCTTTCCAACCGATTACACACACATTTTCGATCATTTTTCAAAAAAAAACGTGAAGAGCCAGTACGGAAGCTTAGATGCAATTAGGACAATAGACAATGTCTCTGACCAATACAACGGTACGTATCCCGCAGACCACAACATTTTTACTACACCCTCTAGACGAATTACATTTTTGAAGTTAATAAACCGGAAAAAAAGCCTATATCGCAATAGTTTATTAGACCACGCAATTCAAACCCGGGAAAAAAAAACCTGGGAAAAACCATAAATCCTTGAAAGATCTTCTTTTCATAATTTCCACTCTCTTTCCAAGCCACCGTTGCTTTTTTAGCTGTAAAGCAGACTATGTTGAAGTAAATGTTTGCCGCTTTCGCAGTATGTCCATCTTGTGCTCTGACTCCATTTGGATCCCATGTTGTCAATTATTGCAGTGATTGAATCAACGGCGCAGATGGAGTGGTCGGGCTCATCATCGCCATGTCGTCACCCTTCAGCCTTCCTCACTGGCTCACCAAGGCTATTTTATCTGATACGACGAATAGTTTGCCTAATTAGATGACGGTCGATGGTCGTCCTTGACCGTTATCACCAGACGGTGAAGGGCATGAACGAGGAGCACCCTCCAGAGCATAATCAGAACAAATGGCTTAAAAACGAGAAAAAAATCAAACCGGGGATAGTGAATAGAAATGGTTGCATCAGGAAACAGGGAGAGGCCCCTACAAACGACTGTTTTCTAGAAAAATTCTTTTCATCATTGTTTTTCAATATATTTGATCAAAATTATAAAAGAAATCAACCTCGATCCATTCGAAGGCCCACACCCTCAGTAGGCTATAGATTCGCTATTCCCCCTCAGCTGCTTATGTCGGTGGAGTATTGTTTACCAATATATTTTGCAAATAATTTATGCTGTGAATAAACCATAATATTCTTTAATGGTCTCCGTTACTTGGATGAGATGGGATCTGTCCTTCCGGGAATGTAAAATTCATCTCTTCATAGAATATTAAGAAGAAACACAGTGAAGATCACCGTATATCCCCTCCCGTCACTACCTTTGTGAACGCCCCGAAATAGAAGTAAATATCAATACATGAATCGTGAGCGTTAACTAAAACATGTGGATTCCTGATTCACCGAGACTAAGGATATGGCAGTGAATAGGAGCCCCCGTAAGCAGAAGCTGTTATTAAACTCATTGATAGGACAAAAGTTTGGTTAGACCCACCCATCTACCTTAACGTAAGCTGCGAATTCGAAAGTTTCTCACTGTAATCTTTCAGATTTGTAATGACTTTCCTATCCTATCCTACCTTTTCGTTTTTCTTTCGAACTGCAATATTTCCAGGGAGAAAGCGTAACCCTTCTTCCAGGGCTGAGTTGACGTGATATCTACAGCAAAGGGAGGAATGGAGTCGCTGCTGGCGTCCGCTCGATGAAATCGATGATGAACGGAATGACAGGTAACAGGTGGCAGGTGATCCAGAACCGGGATTCATGGTATTTCTGTCACCTACGTTGGTGATTTAATTAGAGCCTCTTTGATGGAGGTATTCAACTTCCCAAATAAATGTTAAGATGGCAAAAATCTGAAAGTCTTTGGAACAGAACAATCGCACCTCTTTGTAGCCGAGTAGGTTATGAGCTCCGCTGTCCGTCTAGCGTGGCGAACATCTTGAAAGACGTCATTTGCCGTCATCTGCACTCCCAAGAGTAGTGTGGCATGTGGATGTGTATTCCTTAGCCTAAATGACGTGAAGATGTTTTATTTTCATTATCGTTCTCTGAACACTGCTGGGAAGTGAGTGGGACCTGTGCTCCGAAGATAGCCTTCTTACCCTAAGAATTTGCGTAAGTTTCCGGGACTCATTATCTCCAGATTGTCTCGGGACGTGATAGAACGTAGCGACATGTCGGGTCGTATACGAGAAAATCCATAGACAAAGTGGGTGCACGACAAATTGTGGAAAGGCGCGATGTCGAAGGTGTCCTTCTGCAGAAAGAGGAAATCACCCTTCGCGTTCTGAATAACTAAGTTGCTTCACAAGATCTCTACTGACCCTTGATGGAACGACGAAGCAGTAGAAAGCGCATGACGATGGTTTCACATCTTCGATAACAACGAGCAAAGTCAGGCAAAAGAGCGCAACGGACGTCCGTAAAGACATCCTGAAAGAGATGTGAGCAGATAGACGAGAATTCAGTGGGAAGCCTTACAGATAACAATGCAAGAACCAAGGCGCTCCGCATTTGTGCCTTTATCGCCTGCCGCTCAGATGTTTTCTTTGAAGCTTGGGAATGTGTTGGAAGTCGTGTTTCGCAATGAAAACAGAGGGATTTTCCCGAAGATGCCAAAGCTGAACTTTGAATACTGTACCGGATGCTGTGTAAAAACAAGCTATGAAATATGATTCTGCAAAAAACTGCTTTTTCAACAATAAACTGATCTGAACAATGGATGATGCCCTTTCTTCGAAGCCTTGGATCGCCGGAGGTTTCTTGAGTAGACCTGGTTGAACATCTCGTATTGTAGCAGTCGAAAAGACAAAGCAACCTTTGAAAACCCAGCTATTACACGTTGTTTTCATAGGGTAAGAAACTACCTTTCATTTGATTTCATCCAATCAATAAGGAGACTGGAATCTATCGACTAATAAAACGATTTCTTGTAATTATGTTACTTAGGCGGAAGTGGAGAGAAGAGACTAGTTTCTCACCCCGTATGGGTTCCCTCGCAATTGAAAAGCGAACACTTCCGCCTCAGAAGCAGCTATAAACAGTCAGTGTTTGGACACCATTCCATGGATCGCTAGGCTGCTTTTGAAGTGCTCGAATGTAGGAGTGTCCATTGTGGATCGAATCTCATCCATCGTTGGAATTCAACTTCTGAAAGCAACGTGGGAACGCTGGTGGGATGAAACTCTAAAGATCGGTCCCGGTTCCAAAAGCACGCTTGAGAAAGTATTGTTTTTCAGTGTCGAGCAGCCTGGATGTGTTCCACCTGGATGAGTAATCTGGTGCCATTGATCTAGCTTGAAGTGACTACTTCGGTGGGAACCCTGATCAAATAGGCGCATAGCGAAGTTGAGAAAGGCATGTTTGATGCCATTGAGTAGCGCTTCTCAGTAGGGGTTATCATCTGCCTTCCGTAATTCAGAGGCACACTTCACGATAAAAATGGTTCCTGAGATTTCCCAATAGGATGAATTCCAAGCCCCCTGGTATACCATATCTGGCGCTACCCGAAAAACGGCCTAGTTGGGACGTTATAGAGACTCAAAGATTGCACCGATGAACTACTTCTAGCCTATACTTCCTCTTTTCGACTAAAAAGGTGTACCACAAAATTATCGTGAACTATGCCTTTAAACAGCAGTATATTCATTCTTACTTGGCATTTTTCATATAACAGCCATTTATTCAGATTGTTATCCGAGCAGTGCTCCTGTTCCATATTGCTCCGCCTTCGGGTTGTCATAGCAAGCATCACAAATTGACTAACATCTAATCAGTAACGATAACACCACTTTAGAAAAAGTAGTTTATCTCCATTATTTTGCCTTTTTGATTATAAAACTGACTTCGACTATAAAAGAGATCGATCTCGATCGGTACACGTTACCATACCCTATGGTAAGCCAGTGAAAGAGACGAAGTGTTATGACGTCGCTGATCCGAACCGGTCCAACTGCCCACCCCCCTCCGCAGAGTCAATNTGCTCCGCCTTCGGGTTGTCATAGCAAGCATCACAAATTGACTAACATCTAATCAGTAACGATATCACCACTTTAGAAAAAGTAGTTTATCTCCATTATTTTGCATATTTGATTATAAAACAGACTTCGACTGTAAAAGAGATCGATCTCGATCGGTACACGTTACCATACCCTATGGTAAGCCAGTGAAAGAGACGAAGTGTTATGACGTCGCTGATCCTAACCGGTCCAACTGCCCACCCACCTCCGCAGAGTCAATCACGAGCCAAGCGCTTCAACTACAGGGCGCCTACGCCTGAACACGATAACAGAGGGTGAAATTGTTTAGATACCCTGTGGTTGAAGGGCATCATTGAGTGCAGTAAATGACACCAACAAGGGCTGTAAAAACATATTCCATGACCTTAAGAGAAGTAAATAAAAATTACTGCAATACAAACCATACAATTCCGCATTTAGGTCACTTCAACAANCTTGGACAATGGGAGCTCTGTGAAGCTTCTCTAATCGATTCACGTGACGACCTTGTGAATGCAGTTTAAACTGCCTGGGAACAGATGGTCTCACACACTGCTTGTCCGTCACCGTTGTACCGATTCCGTTGCTAAAAAACGTGTCCTGATTCGGTCGGCACAAGGTGTCCACATTCCCACTTTCTGTACTGGTCCTATACTGTCGCTCCTCCCTATAGTCAGCGGTTCTGTTTCTGCTATTCACACTATACAATGGGCTTTCCTCTGAGGAAGGCCACATAGCATCCACAGCGATCCTTCTATAGGAGCGGTCAAATGAGGCATATTTGTACAGAACATTCACGAAGTACTTGATAAATTTCGTTATATGCAACAGTTTGTGGAGAAGAATTATGATTTTTATTTAACTAAGGGATCAGGGTACCCATATGTTTCATAATTTCCTTGGCGACGTCGACAGTGACAGGCGACTCGTAGTGCTGGTTGACCATATTCATCACTAATGGCAAAGCATTGCATAAGTGTAACGGTTCATAGTTCACAGTTACGTATAAGATAGGTTTTTGACGAATTTAACTGATCAGAATATAAAAATTTCTGACAGTGACCTCCGACAGCAAGCTGGATTGTGATTTACGGAATTCGGGTACTTCAGCCTCTTGTCTGTATTGTATGAGTCAACCGGAACATCGGCTTTTATTACAAATCTACCTGTAGAGAATAAATTTTCAAAAAGCCCACATATCAATCGTAATTTCATTTTTGTTTGTTATTTGTCGTCTCAATGGGAGCGCTATCAACAGTCGTCTTATCGATGATTTGCTGGCAACTGCCATAAAGGCTTTAAAACAAACTGCGACACCCTCTATGTACTATACTAGCGCTAATAGCAGTCCTACAAACACGGCTAGTTCCAGAGCTGGACAAAAGGTTCTATCTTGTTTGCTATCATAAGGCTTGAAGCAACGCCGAGGTCTATTTCGAATTTTGAAGAAGAATGTGACATGGAGGTCTTGTGATGGCATCCCAACACTCGTGTTAAAAGATAAGAAATCTGAGCCCATGTGACATGTCGCTTTTATCAATAGCGATGGTACTACGAGGTCCAAAAAGTGCAAAAACCCTTATTTAACAGTAGTACACAGTCTGTTGACGGGGGACACGGATGTTGTGGTGATGATGTGGTTTCGGCGAAATCTGAGACCGCCATGGATCGCAGTGAGAAGATCTAATGGAAACATGCTCACATTGGAACTTGCGCCTCGACATTACGTTCAAACCTCAAAGGAAACGACGCTGTTTGAGGGATCCAGGAATTCGCAGGTGATGGGGAACAAGTTGGATGTACCAGTTTCAGTGACTTTTTAAGGAGTCAACATTGCGTCGAATATTTCAAAAATCTTATCACATTCTCTGAATTGATGACGAGCTAGTCGGAGCGTGACTTGCCAGAGTCACGCTATGCTCTTTGATTTTCCAGTTTTGTGAGGTTTCAGTTGTAAAATTTAAAAAAAAAGAATGTGTTCAGTTAAACAACGGCTCTTTTATAAATTAAATTAATTCAAGGGCAAGGATCGAATGAATCTGATGAAGATTAACAGTTCAATTCTCGGATTAGGTGAACCTAAACTGATATAGCTATTCAGTTACCAAATTAGGTCACACTATCACTGTATCTGACTTTTTGGCAACTTTTTTTGCTCGCAAACCTTACCTCTGACACAGACTGAGAACCTTACGAGTTAAAGGTTACTCCCTTTGAACAATCTCTTCCCACTTCATTAGTCGGGCAAGTATTTCAGGGATGAAAGTGTTCCGGAAGGCTGCATAGTCAGGTGCCTGCGTTAGAGTGACACTCAGGAACCATAATAATCAACAAATAACAAATAACAACTAGCCTTGGCCCCACAAATTTTGAAGCATATCCCCATGCGAGTTCAATTACTCGAGTAACCACTCCACTTCCCTTAGCACCAGTGGTAGACTCATAAGAGGTTTCCTTCCCCATGAATGTATCAGATAAGGGTATGCTGTTATCATTAAATAAAAATATTCCTTATAGGGAATAAAAGAAAAGATCAACCAACCAATGCTACTAAACGGAAGTTTTGTAGTTTTTCTTCTTGCAAAATTCATCATGACACAGAATTATGTAGTTCATATTCCTTGTTGTCGGGATTCTAGGACCCTTTCCGGTACCCGTATCCTCTAAGGCAGAGCAGGAGTTCAGACGCCGGTGTAAGAACTGTTACCATTACCTCGAGGAAAAGGGAACCAAGTTCAGGTGAGTCGCGATTCCCTTTAAGATCGACAACTCTCCCCATTAGAACAGCTGAATAGAATGAAGCTGCTAGTTAACAAGTTGGATCTGAACCGTCACTCAGCTGCCGAAAAAAATAAATCCGATATTTTGGGTTTCCCTAAAGGCTGTTTGACATTTTTTTGAATGGAGTTAGGATTCTACGCTTATGAACTCTTCGAAGTTTCAGAGAAAATCGAGCATACAGCCAAGTTTTCGGATACCATCTCCGTGGGTAAGTTCTGTTTTCCCTCATGGTTGATCCTTTACTTACAAGTTCTTCCTCTTCAGCTTCTCTTTTTTAAGCCCGAATGAGGGACAAGTCTGCAAATATTCCCGTAACTAACCGTGAAGGCATTGCTTTAGGATCAACAGGAATCCTTGCTCTTTCTCGAACCCACTTCGTTCAAAGTTTTATCAGAATTTTCTTGAAAGTTTTTCGACCGAATTGAGCCCTGGAAACGAGTGATTCAGGTCGTCAGTTTCCGACAATTAGAGCTAATTGCGAAACTCTGGCCATGCAGATGGTGGTCCAAAAAGTTATCGATCATTAAGAAAACTCTCCATTAGACGCTACAAACGTAATAATCATACATTTTGCTGTCAGAGTGCTTGTGTGTATCGATGTCACTGAATAAACTGGACCTCACCTAATAAAGCTCACTACCCTTGCTGTGATTCTGCACATGCCGCTCACTGTATTAATTCTTTGGGTGGCTCAAGTTGGAAAACAGTGTTATGGTAATCGATGAAATGATTGTTCGCCCATAAACCAGTAATAAATAGAAGTTGGAGAAAAAAAATACAAACTGCGTGAACAACAAGCGATCACTGCAATTAGGCATACATCTGGCTGGTACTGCACCAACGTCGCCATCAGCACAAAAGCTTCATCTACGAAAAAGAAAATTTCAGAAAAACCTTGTCTTTTTACATCTGATACATCGTCCGTAAATTTTAAATTGTTATTTCACTTTTCGGAGTTCATGACTTTGCCATCTCTTCATATCAATCATTTTTGTTGTCGATCTCCTCATTATTCTTGTCATCTCTTTATTCCCCTGTGTATCTTCACTGTTTGTCACCACTGTTGAATGATTTTTCATCGCAAGTGTTTCTCGTCAACCCAACAAGCAGTTGTTTTTCTTTTCTGTCCATCAAACCACCCAAACGATGAAGTTTAAACATAACACTTCCTCAGTCAAATTTCTGTTCCTTCATTCCTTTGAACTCCTTTCTTTAAAGATCTTCTCTTCAATTTGACAAGTCATTTTTCAGTGAACCTTCTCTTTGTGAGATATATTCATAAATTTATCAGCATTTCCCATCTTCGGAATTCCTTATCTTAGCTTAATATGAATTGCAAACAAAACATTTGAGAACTACGGAAGCACTGTCAACGAACATTAGAATGAAAAACTGCAAGATTGCGAGAGTCACACCATTTCAGACCCATATTCCACTTGAGACACCAGGTGGAGAAAAGAATAACATAACTCGCATTTACATAATGAGCGCAAACATGAGCAGCAAAAGGAGTGAAAGAGAGGGAATCAAAAAGAGAGTCACGCCATCTGTGGCATCCATGATGAGGCGCGCGGCCTTTCTTCGCTGGACCGCCGTTCTTCTGATCGAAACCTCATGTCCGTCCGACTGGCTGGTGATTCGGCAGCGGCTTGTGGAGCAGCGGCTATCAACGACGAAACGGCATCAAATTGTGACGAAATGACCCGGTTCATTCTGGGATCTTGACTAGTGACTGATAATCCAGGACTGATGCCCGAATAGGCAGGTGGCGCGTCCACTTCTATAAGGCGCCATGCAACGACATTGCCTTCTGGAATTTGTCGAACCATTGCGCCGTCACCAGACCCGCTGCACATGGGTGGACTGGCTGGACTTTCCTCATCAACTATTGGATCACCAGCTATTTGCGCTAACATTTGGCTAATATTGAACTGAGCGGAAGGAACAGCGTTCGCTGCTGATGGGGAAGACATTGGAGCTGCTGTTGAAACAGCTGGCCCTTTCTCGTCAAACCGTGGCGAAGACACGGCTGCTGCGGGAGCATAATACGGCAATCTAGGAGGCATAGCAGGAAATGGAGGAGGAGTAGGTCCTACAGCTCCACCCAAAGTAGGTACGACGACAGAAGGTGGAGCTAGCGGTCCACCGTTCGTAGGTTGTTGGGGAATTTGGGCATGAATNAGAAGAACACGACGTTTCATTGGTGGTATGTGGTGATTGCCAATCCCGCGGCTGGCGTACATTTCGTCTTCTTGGCACATTCGCTCGAATAGTGGACGGGTATAGTCCGTTAGGGGCACATGACTGAAGTGACATGGATCGCGGCTGCACTCTCCCTTGTGAAATGCTTTGCAAGGGAACTCGCCGTGTAACAAAAGGCAGGTGAGACCCTTTTTACAGAATCCTTGCTGATAAAATTTGCATAGCTCAGGCCGACGAAGTGAGTCTTCAGCCTGATGCGAATATGCACAGTTATCACCATCTCTGCAGTAGCCCTCACGGAAAAACTTGCAAATCTGATGCTCTGTGGCCCATCTCGGCTTTGGTCGGAATGCACGGAATCCTCGACCACCATATGGACGCTTCGGAGCACGAGGATCCCACTCGTCCTGTGAAGGAGAGTGCCGGCGCCTGAAATTACACAAATTTTATCTTTCATAAAAAAGAAAATCACAAAGAAAATGGTTTTCAATGTATAAGCAATTGGCAACACATATATACAACACCGATTCCATTGAGAATTAAACAACTATGCTAAAATGCACGCACCTTCGTCCAACATGCCCTCCACCTTGTCGATAGTCAAAGTCCCCACTCGGCTCCTCTTCAAATCGATAATCCTTATCCTCAGCACCGTATCCAAAGACATCGCCAATTTTTTCCCCGGCTGCTGCTAGTTTACTCGCCCATGAACTTGGCGATGGTTTCGTACCATCTTCCTTCAAAAAAGTAATATGAGAATGAATATGAGATTATGAGTCCATGAATTAACCACAACATCACCCAAGATTTGACATATAAAAACAATGAATAGAGCTGTGAAAAGCGACCATTTACCAGGCACAGATTCCCATCATCACCAGGCATCATCATCACAAACTAACAGAAAGAAATAAAGGGGAAAATTCAAATGGCAAGCCTTTACCACCAGCAACTACTAACAGCCTCGAAATATGCCTCTCCTATACAGCCATGCCGCTTCAAGCGGGTATTCATAACCGACTATTATGCAAGTTTACTCTATGAGTAGCTCAGAGAACCAAACTAAGTATGAGTTGGTTCACTGGCTAGTCACATTCAAATGAAAAAATATGCATGTTCTTTCAAGAAACAGTGGGCATGAAGCGATTTCTGCCAAAGAAGCACTCGGAAGCAGAAAAGAGTAGAATGCTACAAAACATACCGTCAGCCCGCTTGCCTCCCTAGGTGTCCGACCGGCTTTCGCAGAATTCGGAGATGTACCAGATATAACTGACTGGTCGATCATAGAAGCATTTTGGTTTGGACTCGATTGACTGGGCTCGGTGCCACCTGTAATATTTTTTTGTGAAGAAAATTACAAATCGTAGTGATCGATTCTAAAGGACAGCTTAGTTGTTTGCACAGGCCTTCTCTTGACCGTGTCGACCACCTAACGTCACAATTAACCTATGCTTCTCTTATGAATCTTACTATAGTTAACGCTTTTGACAGGAAATTCAGGTCACTGACGAAAAATGCCTGACTCGATTATAACATTCAGTCCCATTCTGCTTTTTCTCTCAGCTCGTTAGCCTGAGCCCATCAATCAATCCATCTTTCTCAGAGCCATTGATTAGCAGCACCCATTACCCCCGTTGTCAAATAAATTCGTCACTTCGTCTTTATACAATCCCTCATTGCTCTTCCCCAATTCTTCACAAATACCAAATAAGATTTACTAGCTATATGATAGCAAGCACAGAACTCCAGAATCACTTTCAACTCCTAGAGCTCAAAGTTCACTAGAGACTACGTGGAGTCGCGCAAACTCTCTCTTTAGAACTATCGACTAAGCCAACTCAAGACTTCGGAGAAGTTGAACGTTTTGCTAGTCGGTAGGAAAACTTAGTATTTCCCACAGCTGCTTTACCCCATCCCATTTTCCACTTTTAACCGTTCCCCGTTTTTCTCGGGAACATGAGCTTCGAGAAAGTTTTAAGCTCAGTCAAACTGGAATGGAAGATTCACGTGGACGCAGTTTTTTGGGCAATTCTTAATCCTGCATTTGGAATCGCTCATGGATGCGGCCTTACCTCGCATGGGTTCTTCATCATCGTCGCAGATCTCTCCATCTTCTGGTAGTTCACCGTCTTCATAATCTTCAGGTTCTACAAAATCTGCAGTGGCAGCCATGAGATCTACCATAACCTGAAAACCTCCTAGCATAATTTGAAAAAGTACCAGAGAATATAGCAGGTATATTCGAAATCGGCTCAATTGAAGATACTGTGTAAACAAAAGCGCAGAAATAAATTCCAACAAATTCGTGTGACTCGTTCAAATTTCCAGTACCCAATCTCTTCCCAATCAATTTTGGCCTGATTGAGGCTGCCCACCTTGTTACATCAACTTGCTTCCAAGCGATTTACTGTCTCTCAAGTACGTATTGATACATCAATACACATAACCAACTCAGAGTAGACTGCTGTCCCAGTTTCACGTTGAATCGCACCGCTACAAATGCTATCACCAACTGCTTCGAGTGCTGGTGTACACTACAATGAGAAGGAATCTTAGGGTTGATAGCACAAAGCCAGCCAGATCGCAGAGCGAGGAACCCTCATTGATTTTGAGTATCACATTGGCCTGTTGTTCTGACAAACACTTCAAACACAGCGAAGATAAAGAAACAACCGGCCTTCTAGGTCTTTGACATCACAACGAAACTTGTTTCAACTGTGGCAATCTGAATGTGGAACCGATCGTCATGTCTTCCTGATTTTGTATGATCATGACCTTAGGGATGCCTATGTATGTACCCGAGCAATGTTTACTCTGAGGTTTCAAATGTTAGGGTCGCACAGGCCCACGGCTAGGGTCAGATTGAGCCAGTAGCCATGTAATATACAATAAGCGCTTGAAATGAAATCTATTAAGAAGACTGATTAACAATGCTGACTTCTAGACACCGCAAATATCCACAAGCTGTCCTTGTGTTTTCGAAAAGACATTGTTTTGTGTTGGTAAGGTTCAGGGGGCCGGACTACGAGTACCCCAACGACACTATACTTGACCTATGGATCCAACAGAACTCCTGCCCGACGCCTAGCGTTGCACCCAACCCACCCCTATACCACCAAAAATATCGATTAAAACCACATCAAAGGAGGGAAGCAGGTACCCGCCTTTTTCACTTCATAACAACAGAAGCTCATGGTATTGGAACTGAATGGAGTTTGGGAGGAATCCCTTCTTGAATATGATCTTCACATGGTAATTGTCAAGTGCATGATAGCAACTCCATAGTAACCACATCAAGTCTACAAGAATAAGCGAACCGTATACGTCTGGAAAAGGTGGGCAAACTTCCAAATCATTCTCCATCAAGTCACCCTGTGGTGTCTAAGCCTGCTACTAGCGAGTTAGATGGACCGTTCACTTAGTTTTATGTCAGACAAACCTGGGCGATTTCGTTTGACGTCTTGGCCCACACGATGATGATGATGATCCACTGCTATCACCGGGGGATTTCCTCAAATCCACTCGAAGCTGAGGTCTCAAAGCTTAGTTATTCCTGTCATCAAGCTCACTGAGCAAAGAATTGTATGAAAAATCGTGGTTTAAGCAGATTGCAACTAATATAAAAGCATCTTACAGAGACAACAGTCCCTGATCGATGTAGTAGATTGAGTTAAGTGTGTTCAGATCTCTGAGACTAGGAGCTGATCAATCATCCCAAGAAAATACATATTCAAATAGCCAAAAGCGTAAAATTCACTTGTTTCTTGGGCAATCCGCAAAACCTAATTGTTTAACAATATCCCAAGGTCAAGCCTCAACCCTGCCGGTAATCCCACACCTCTAACCCTATCCCCCATTCTCCCACAATTGTTGTGCATTTGACAGTCCATGGCAATATACAAGCACTAGGAAAAACCTGATTTTCCGTGGACCAGACAGTTGAGGAACAGGATATGCATATCATGGGGAACTCAGTATGACGAAAGTAGGGGGCAATTTTCAACAGAAATCCCTTCGGAAGACGAGATTATTGAGCTCATTTCATCAACACCAATGCTTGCACTTGGTTGGAGTAACACCTTAGAGGACTTCACCCGAAATTTGCGGATAACATTTGTGCCAGGAACCCCGCCCCCGTCCTACCGGTTCGTCCGCGGGCCTACCGTACCCCGAAGGTGGGTGTCGCAGCACCCGTGGCCACGCCCACTATTGATTTGCTGGCGCCCGACACCCTAGCTGGAGGATGGGAGCAATATCGGANAAAGTATACCGAAATAAGGTAGAAGAGCCGACTGGAGATCCCCATCCGTTTCGACAAAGACTAGAAACGAAATCGTATGGGAACCGACAAGAGCTCTGGCACACCAGTCGCCTCTAGACTACCCTACGCGGTTATACAGAGCATAGTTTATAGAAGAGTTGAAAAGCAGGTCAGAGAAAACAGGAGGTTGAGGGGACATCTCAAACACGTACGAAAGACTTGTGTTAAGTGTTGCATTCTGCATCCTCTGTGGGAACACACCGTTTCGCAAGTCTTTTAGCAGAGTGACGAAGATCGTCATCTCTTCGGTAGCATTTACATACGCCCAGCAAAGGGCTAAAAGGAACGTTCAAGAACTCGTAGGGCGCACTCCCCTCGACTGACGCGCCTGCCCCGTCGGTGCCGGCCCCAAGTGTCGTCCTCGTCGTCTGCGCATCCCGCCGCTTCACACTCTCTCGTTATCGATCTCCCCAACTGGCCGGCCGCAACCCCTTCCCATCACTAACCAGTCGCCCCTCCTACGTCCAATCTTGAAATTTAGACAAAGCCATTATCAAAGAAGGAAAGCTTTTAGGTGGATAGAACAAAAGCACAATAAGTGCAAGCATTTGGGGAGAAGTTGGAGAGAATAGAGGCAGGTAGCTTCCCAGTTTCTAGATTTACCACAAAGACGGTCTTTGGGCACCAAACAACAAAATGTTAATACACAAGTCTCAAGGTGAAATTGATGATGACCATGATGAAGAAAATGCAGACGTTGAAGTGGCGATCGTCCAGCATTCACCTGGGGTTACAAGTCCCAGATCTGGCCTACTCATCAGCTCGACTGCCTGGGGCAATCCGCTAACTGCTGCACAGACTGGTTGATGTCTGCGTTTTCACGCAACCATTTCACTTGTTCATCGAAGGCTTAGAAGTAGTCACTTCTCAAAGTGAATCAAGACCGATTCAGTCACAAAAATGGAGAAAATGCCGTCGCTTCCACTCCGCACCGCCGTGCTCAATGCAATGGGAAGGCCGCCGTTGGCCGCTGCGTCGCGTACGCGCAGCAGCCGGGCGAGGTCGGCCTGCCCCGCAACTACCGTAGCCGGTTCCAGCGTGGCCTTGAAGCACTTCTAGCAACGACGGGCAAAAACCTTTCGGGAACTGTTGGATGGAACAAACCCTAAACAGCAGTGTATTACATTGAAAAGGCTGGAACAGGGATAAAGCGCCTGGGTTGACGGATTTCATGCTGTTTTTTCGACTGATTGGTGATTGATTCGACTTTTCATGGGGTGGTGGAAGTGTTGTGATGGCGTTCAGGCGACTAGCATATGTGTACTGACTGCATCGATCGACGATGCAAACGCCTTCAGATGGCGACGCTGCGTTGCACAGGCGTCGCCGTCTGGCCTTCGACGTCTGGCCTTCGTTCGCTGCAAGTGGGCGATTCACTTCAAACCCCCCTTCCTGACGACATCGCGCTAGATTCGCAGCTTTGGACGGGACCTTTAATAAAGCTTGGTATGCAGTTCAACACGCCCAGCGCTCGGACAATGGTCGATCTTTTTTTTTTNTGATTTCCGTTGTAGATAAGTTTTTCGAAATGCTAAATACAGGTAGGCATCAACTACTTCCATATGAAAAGCCATCTTGTTAATTGAAGCTCTTAACTAATTACATTGTGCGCATCTCATCTTCATTTCAGCAAGATGGAAAGGCTGGTCAGCTTTGGAGATAGGGCCTAAAAGGCGTGGCCTATCATAGCGTTTGGGCCATCTCTATCTGCACTTAAGTGTGTTGTTTGATCCAAAGAATCATAAAAAATGTGAAATATTTTCTAGAAAATAGCCGCTTTTTAATTTATGAAAGGTGCAGGGTTTTTGATGTTCGCATAAATTGTGACCATTTGATCAAACCTGACCGTCTGCACCGTATTGATGCCTTTTTTGATTCGTGGTTTCTATCGGATCCTATTCTGATTCTGATTTCTGTTTAGAGGTCCACGTTACAGCTATACCGCTCATTTTCAGAAGTGCGCATGTTCTAGCTGAACATTTCGAACCGACCTTGTTAATCAGATTCCTGTGACATGAGCTTCTATGATGACTCTCACATTCTATCACGATTGGGAAGTGGGTTCACTTTTTATTTCTGTTTTTACTTACGAATTTTGAGGTTTGAGCCAAGTAAAGAGTTTTTCCTACCTTCCCACGAACCGAAAGTGGAGCTCGAACCCTTGTCAGTCATGTGTGCCACTCTCAAATGCATTCGAATTTGAAAGTGATGGGAATCATTGTGCTTATTCATGACCAAATTATACTCATAGAAGCCGATTTCATTAATGTGGCTACTGTCTCGATTATTGATCCAGTTGCGTACGGAACTAAGTTTCTATGAAACGCTAAAACTTGTGTCGTAAGACTGTTTATCATGCTACCCCCACTTTACAGTATTGCAATCAAAGGAGGAATGCCCTCGTAAAATTCTTCAATCCAATCCGAAAGCCGAGGTGAAGAAGTCTCCTGCGAATGAACGATTTGTTGAAGTGAACATAGACGGCGAAGTTGGTTCGAGGTCTGACACGGATGAAGAGCCTGTATTCGATAGGGTTTGTTTGTTTTGAAAATCTTCCTTAATTGTATACGTTCATGATCGTGCTGTTTACAGAATTTTTTACTGTCCCCAAATAGGAGTGCCAAGGTTTATCGAAGAAAATCTGAATCGTATAAGTGCATATACCTGATTCTTCTATTGACCTACTTTGTGATAGTGAGTTTATTGTTCAATAGTTTATTGTTATTGTTTTTGTTCTGATATTTGGACTGTTTCGGAACGGTTCGGTATCCAGTTTGAGACATCATTTTTTATAGATTTTATTGATTTTGAAAGTTGGGAGCAAATAAATTTGAACCACTTCCCGATTTTATGAGCAAGAGCGTTTCAGGGTGCTGTTTGGTCAATACCGCTGATTACGCAACGCGCAACTGCAAAGTCACATTCAAATTTCTTATCTATAAATACTTTTGGGCTACTCCTAGGAACCGTAACTGGTAAGTCAACTTCTTAAGTCTCCATCGTTCACATTACTCGGATTACAGCTGTAACATTCCTAAACAATAACGAAATGCTACTAGAGGCTGCCTTCATACAACAGGTACTTTGAGCGTATGCAAAGCATTGAAACCTAGCATGGTTCGCAGGGGTAGATGTGCAGCGATCTAAGACGAAACCGCTCTTCGCTCCACGCTTTTCATCTTTCGCCCATGGTAATCCATTGTGACTTCGGGCAGGTATTGACCGTCTTTTTAGGTTGGATGTGCAGCAATCCTTGTTACACCTTTCTGGCAAGTCGATGTGACAGCTATCATGTATTTTATTGCAGTCAGTCTGCAGGGGCGTTCTAGCAAGCGCTGTACTTTTCTTCCCACCATGTTCATTGTATTCGAACTAGTTTATATTCTATTATGTTTGATCTTGAAGTTTTTTCAATACATCCTCTCAGTGCTGTGTTAATATGAAAAAATACTCAATTTACTTCTGTGTAGAGGAATAGTAGGTGTTTATTGTTTCAAGAGGATAAACGGCGGAGGTGGTGTAGGCAGCCAAGCCTTTCTTCCCTCCGGGGTCGGGTAATTGGTACCAGACTTGTCTGAGAGGATAAAACTGACTGATTCGTACATCGGCTGGCCACCTCAAGTCATCATAAACCACATACGCATTCAATACGCCACTACAATTCTGAATGGGAGTTAAATGCGTGAGCTTTCTCTCACGGGATTGATTAACGCCCCGAAACTTTATCCTTTAACCTTATTGCTAAAAAAAACTCTGACGTTTTCTGCTTGGAGTCTACGACAGCTACGAGCATATGAAGAAAAGGTCCATTGGGCGAAAACGGCGGTTTTCAGCGAAAACTCCTAGGTCGGTTATAAAGAAAAGGAACGACTAAAATTGTTGGAGATGAGCAGTGTACGAAGGGAGAATGCCAGAATGCATGGCATGTGTGAATGCCTGTTTACAACAAATTTCGCTGTCCCTTGATAAGCAGGGCGCTGAAAACGAAAGTCTCCTCTGCTTTAGAATGGAGTAGAACCCGAGAAACTGTTAGATGTAGGTAGTGAACAAAGAATTCGAATAGAGATCAAAAGCTTGTGGGAAAGGAATAGTGGCAGGACGTGCTCACAATTAGATTAGACGTAATGAGAACAAATTACTCGTAAATTTCAAAGCCTTTCCTCTTCTGTCATAGAGGTCGTATGGAGTAAGATTTACTCCAGGCTTCTGCTAGGGACGAGTTGGTCAAGGAGTTAGGCTATCAGCTAACTAGTCAGCTTCACTTAGCAGAAAAAAGCAAGAGAGCCTACACCGATACCAAGATTCAATGAAGGGGAGAGAACGAATCAATAGGTCCCACGTTGTCTGCACAATGGATATGGGGAGCCATGGTAGTGTCCGAGTGTAGTGTAAGGAAGGTACTTGCGGTTATTTTTATACGCCCTGCGGCTGATGGTTCCTATGCGAAAAATTCGTTACTCTGTCTCTCGGTCTCACTAGGTGCAGTTGAGAAATGATGGCAGTGCCAACGAATGTTGACGTTTGGAGGGGATGGTGTGGGAACTTTGGATCAATTATCTCACTTGGTACCATTGCTCTTAACACATTTCCTCAAAGGTCGCGAAGTGGTTAGTGGATTACACTGCAGTATGTGAGAAACCCTTGATTGCTGTGCAGATAGCAGAAGTGGTCATTAGGCCAGCACCAGTGGCCACCGTCAGACACTGATTTGACGGATGTGCAGGAACCATCGAGTGAAGATGGGTGAAGCGGTGCAAGAGCTACGCGAGTTGATGGATGACACTAAGCTTGTTGCCCTCTTTGAGTTTAAGGCCTTCAGGACGATTCAGAATAGCAGTTCTTTCGATTTTTTCGTATTTCCATAGGCAGAAGATATCACAACGTAAATAAAGTATAAAGGATACACAATCAATCCCGTCGGAGGGATGCGCCCACGCATTTGACTTACACTCAGAATCGTAGCGGCGTATTGAATGCGCTTGTGGCCTATACCATGAATTGTGGTGGCCAGCCGATGTACAAGTCAGTGCTTTTACTCTCCCAGACGAGTTTGGTATCAATTAATCGCCCCCGGAGTGATAGAAGGCTTGATTGGCATCGACGGATATCGATCAGTGACTCGTACCCGTGACCATGCGTACATGAATTGAGCCACTTGCTACTACACCATTGCTCAGATGAAGGAAAACACTTGCAAAACTTCGGACACTTCCAAAGTGATGTAGGTTACTACGAGCTGGCAAAAGTAAAGGGGTAGAATATCAGCAAATGTATTTGCGGTCGTTGTTTCATGCTACTGTAATATTGAAATGCCACAATTTTTTGAGTAGTGTAGCTTTTTCTCAAAGTTCTCGACAGAGTGAAGGAGTGCGAGTGTCCTATTGTTGAGGAAGAAAATGTTCCTGAAAGTTGTTAGGTTGGAAAATAAGTTCGCCCTAAAATTGTCGCTTAAGTAGAAATTCACACGTTTTTCCAAAAATAACTTCTCAAGGATATTAAAAAGCTCGAGGTTTCTGTTTTCCATGTGAATGTTTGCGCGAAACCTCACTTTTTATGGTAACCATCTCAGCAATGATGTATAATAAAGCTTTTATAGTATTTTGCTTTCTATAAAACTGCAAATGTGTTGTATAAAAAATTATATTCAAAACGGTACGTCTACGCATACGTCTATCACTTCCAACCTTCTGCTTACCTCTTGCGAACCAATTTCGGGTGTACTTGTTGAGCTTTCAGCTCTCCATCACAAACGATTAATTGCCGATCCTTTCCTCCCCCTTCATCGTAGGCCCTGTCAAGCGACGTGATGCTTTTAATTTTTTCATCTTTTCATACGTTGAGTAATCCAAGTGCGGAGTTTTTTTGGTTCATGTGACCCATCCAAAAAGGGAAAATTAGTGGAAAGTAATTATTGCCAGTTAATCGTGTGCTAATGTTTAGGAAAAGTTTTCTGCCGGCAACTGAACATCGCATTCGTGTCTTCCTCCTGCACCTTGTTGCTTTGTAGTTTCTCCTGGATAATTACCGACTTCACAGACGTGATAGATGCGAGAATTTCGATTTTCCTATTAGGCTTTGCCTCAGGAAACATCTTGTACGGTTTGTGAATTTCTGCTTGTTTGTTTTTTTTTTGTCTTCATGACAGCGTTATAATATCATAGTTTCCCCTCTAGCTGGAAACTAAAGTGCACAAATGAGCTCTACATTTTTAATTACAATCCTTTTAACTTGAAGGTGGTCTAGCGACATGGTTTCTTCATTGGAGAGGATATAATCGAAAAGTCATACTCTTCTATGTGCTCATGGCTCTCGGAACCTCCATAGCTTTAGCTACAAATAACCAGTCTCTTTTCGGCCCAGGTAAGTTGTTCAATATTTGTATGTTGTTGTATCCGTACTTACTCTTGATATACTCTAGATGGCAGCAATATTGTTACATCTTCAATTGCACTCCACAAGCGCGAAGCTATTGCATCCGATTTATACAACGATACATCAGTCAGCACCATTTTAAATAATGATCCAATGACGACAAAATCGAACAAGTATGTTTTTAAGAATCCAACATAGCAATGTCTTCTTATCTAGCAAATGAACTGACGGGTATTTTTTCAGGTCACTAGGTGCGACAGGAAATGAGATGGTTGGAACGAGATCTGATCAAAGTGAGCAGATGCGCAGAGCTTCCACTTTAGAATTCACCGGCAAGTTCACAGTTTACGATTTTCTTCTCTCAAAATTATTCCTCTTATATCTTGTGCTACTGGTGTGTGCCTCATGGAAGTGTAGTATGCAGCAAAACTAAAAAGATATTGGAACTCAATGTGTTTATGTTTAGTAAGTGAATTGATAGAATTTTCGTTGCGGTAGATACTGGAATGATCGATACAGAATCTGATTTTGAATTTATGACAAACACTTATCGACTCATTGTCGTTTTACCCCAACACATGTACAGCCTCATTCCAGCTGCTGCTGACGTTGAGGAATGCTATGCCTTGACTTTGACTCTTGACGTTGATACCCGACGTTTCCCGTTTACTTTTCGATTTACGCAGTTATCCCACAGTACAGTTCCCTTTCACTCTAACTACACGACTGTATCTGTTGGAATGAGACCCTTCTATTTTAACATATCGTCTCATTTGCTACCGTAGCAGCGACTGAAGCAGAGCTTTTATTTTTAGGAACCACAACTGCGAAAACTAATTCTGGAATCCTTGGTGTTTCTTCGACGAATGTTCACACGGCCACTTCTCGATCAGTTGTAACTACGGGTAAAGCAAACATCGCAGAAACCACAACTACTCGTTTACGCAGGTAGTTTGGGAGCTCAGCGATAAAGATTTCTATAACATTTTGTTTGTCTTTCAGCAGCTCGCAAGCAAGTACTCTATTTCCGGAGAGTCAGTCAATAGTGGAACTGCCTATATATAGCCGTTTCACGAGCATTTCTTCAACAATTGCCCTGACTTTTTACATGATAGCGTTCATTTCTTGCTGTATTCCATGCTCAACCAGAAGCGATGCGAAATTTTTAAAGGTTCGTCGCAATCTGTTCAATTCTTATCTGATTGAATTGCTTTATTATTAGAGATCCATCGTAGGCTACTATGAGCGTATACGAAAAATTTAGTCTGCTTAATTCATCATCTTTGCAGTTGTTTGACCCGTCTATTTCTGGTTTGACTAGAGGCTGTCGTATACGACTAACGACGGTGCAAGTCATCGCTTCCTTAATTGAAGGTATGCATATTCGAGGATTTTTTTTGTATTTTTTATCAATAAGAGTATTGTTACAGGCCTAGTGGAGTTAGCAACAATGCTCTTGGCTGTAAATCGTCAAACCCCATCGATTCTATTAATGCACCATACAATCATCACTGTTTTTCGATCTGTGGTGTTGATGTGGTATGTTTTGATTATTGCGTTTTTTTCAATGACACGTGGCAAATGCCCCAGGTGTGGGTGGATTCATAGGCGCTCTGGATGAATTCACCCAATCTCGAAGGTCGTGATCGCGTTCAAAAACATGACTTGTTAAACAAACAGTAGAATAGATTGCAAAGTGGATCTACGCAGAGCCAACAACTAGCACTTAGAGTTGTCCCTATATAGGTTAATTGCAATGATGAAATTACACCTGCAGGGAGGTGACCAGGTCATTTACCCTTTTTGATGATGGAACTATCAGGGCGGCCAGAGCGTGTGATGTGAATGGACTGCACTTGGTCGGTTGGTAACCTCAATGCTTTCCTCTAAACTTTTTGGTATCGTTCTTGCTGCCGCACCCATATTCCTTCATATCACTTCAGGCACCTCTCTCATTCCGCTCTTCACCCTTCTATAATTTTCAAGTCAGATTTCCTTCAGCTTACTCTGACAGCCTTCTCTTTTTCGTTTCTCATATCAAGCACCTAATTTTTTTTTCGCTTCTTTCAACCTCACTCTCACTCGCATAGGTACTCCTCGCTGTGAGCTCCATCCTGCCCTTATTGTCAGTCCTCCCCTATAGTTTTAGGATGAACCGTTAACTTCTATGTTTGGAAACTGCCGATTGAATACAAAGCTATATTTCTAAGAATATATGAAATTTTTCGGTGAATAGCTGGGAAATGTATTCAGCCTTGTGATGAGAGCATTGTTTTTAATTATAGAAACTAGGGGTAACTGAACCACCAAATGTTCATGAAAGCCTTTCACTGGGAACTTAGCAAGCGTGTGGAGGGGTTACTAAGAATAGAAAAAAGCCTTTCGGTTGTGCATATAAATATGCAACCCATACTCGTCCTTTATTAAACGCAACAGGTTTGCTGTAGGAAATGACAAGCAATGCTATCGAAGCGTCCACGAAGGGTTATTTTCAACGAAAATCCACAGGAATGAGAACTGATACATTTGTGCTGTAATGAGCCTTTTGCGGAAATTTCAATTCAGATTCATGCGTGATTTTTCATTCTTGCAGCGGCCCATGTGCATATTCGTTGTCTGGCTGTTGCTTGGCACTTGTGGGTTCTCTATCAGGATGTATACTTGTTTTGATGGTTCCTATTAATCAACTTTTTGGTTACACTCTCATGTCCGCCAGTACTGGAGTGTTTGCTTTATTGGTGCTTCTGTATTTAGAGGTAACTGTGTTATTCCTTTTGATTTTTGTTTACATAATCGAAGTGGCGTAATGAGTGCGTATGTGGCCTATACAATGGCTTGCGGTGGCCAGCCGATGTACAAGTCAGTGCTTTTATCCTCCCAGACGAGTCTGGTACCAATTAACCTATCTCGGAGCTATGGAAGGACTGGTTGGCCCATGCGGATATCGATCCGGGATTTGAAAAAGTGACTATGAGTGTGTGTGTGTGAAGTGCGCAACTTGCCGCTCACCACCTCCGCCCTTCAGCATACAATAATCAGAAAAATTTCTTCTTCTTTCATAAGTCGTAAGACTATTGTGGACGTCCCGATTTGGCTTCCGCAGATCTTCCACTCTACGGACGCCCGTCACTGAACTACCTTTGGACGTTAGTTTATTTCTTACCGCGAACTTCTTTGTGGCCTTCTTGGCTGTAATGCCAGTCAGTTATATTAATCAATTTGTTTTTTTGGTATGCACGCGTAGCTATTTGCGAAAGAAAGTGCTGTCACGAGTGACAAATGAATTCAGGCCAACGATTGTGACTTTACGGCTACCTGGTACATGAAATTTTTGCAGGGATCATGATGGGTTTCTTCTCGAATCGACACACTGTTGCATTAATATAACAACATTTAGTGAAGTCCTCGTGTTAGAACAAATAAATCTTACCAAACAGAATGGAAGGCTTTAGCTTACTTTTCACCTGGGTAGGCGTGCGCCTCACTTTTTTTTGTTGCTGCCATGAAATATTATGGAAAGGGAGGTCTCGGAACGAAATTCCAGTCTATCAACTCATGAACCTTCTTGTCAATTTGGGAAGGGTTGATTTCCTTATGAAAAGTAACCTCGACTGACGAAGCAGGTGGCAAATTTATTTTGTATTGGATCTATTGAATAGTCGGCTTTTTGAAAGGTTCTTTTTCGGGTCAAACGTGGATTCATTTTGCAGACCTTGGCACTGAAATTTATCCGAAAGGGGTTCTCCTTTCCTTTTTCACCTTTAATTACTTATGATGAGCTCTATTTTGACATTACGAAAGGATTCACCGGCTGGAAGCATATCACGCGTAAACGAGAATTTCAGCCCACGAGGACGAGGAAGCCTTTCCCCCAGAAGGACATAGTAGTGTTGTGCATCCTCATGCAAAACCTGAAGCTGAACAATCGAAATGAGCTGTTACAGGTGAATTCCTGCCGATCATCGTCATCGACTTCCTGATGGGAATCCTGATTGAATAGGTGTATGGTTAAGATGAAGAGAAATCTTTCCAGTGCCTTTCATAAGCAAACTTCGCTTCATATCGTTCCCATTTACCAAGTTTATTTCCCTTTTTCGCCATGTTGGAGCTCTTCACTCAGTACTATGAATGATCCTGTTCCTTACCCGTTATCTATGAGTGGTAATGCCAAAGGTCACACCATCATAGATCATCATCAGATCAGATCTAAAGATCAACCTGCCGCTAATTAGTGATATTTTCATCACTCCAAAGAACAATGGCTGTGGCGAGTCAATGAAAAGGGGTGAGATGAGATCGCAGACCTTGACCGACTGGCCATCCTTTATTACTTGCCTAGTGCTTGAATTTGCAGAAGATTTGAAAATAGTTTTTAAGCTGTAGAACCGAGATATTAACATGCTTTATTAGGCTGACGTTTCGGTGCCTTCACCTTCCTCGGAGCCTGGAAAGACAAAAGGCATTTGAAAAACCATCCGATCAAGCACTATTTCAATCTGTAAAGAAAGTTCAGAGGGTGTGGGGTACGATTCATCGACAGTCGCACATGGACACTCTTTGCAGAAGATGGTTCTACTGGGCTAACACCTGGTACACCGCTCGCTCGTAGGGCGAGGAATCAGGGCTTGTAATCATCGGTAGTACGGGAAAACGACGATTTGTTTGAAACTCAGATCTAACGAAGCGTTTTCGAGTAGAAGGTAAAAACTACACGATCATTTTCGTAGTTCAAATGTAAATAATAAGTGTAATAAGTTGCATACTGAAAGTAGAAAACTAGATAAAAAGCTGAAAGTTGCTGAGAACTTCGAGCGAATTTTATTTCCACTTCTTGAATCAAAATCAAACTTAAAAATAACAAAGGAACTTTAATTGACCTCAAAGGAAATCGGTCACCTCTTAGAGCATCTCTACTTCCATATGTCATTTCAAAGTAGGCGAAAGTGTTTTTTAAGGTTCGTGTGTGTCCGCGAGCGGGAACGCAATTGGACTATTTCATATTTCCATCAGTAATGGGCCGCTTCCTGTCAGCCCTTTTGTGCATGGCTTTCAAACCTTCCACATCAGAGCAGCTCACGACTGTTATTCTCCTTTTGTCAATACCATTGGTTATGGCTTTTGTATTGCTGGTGAAATCGATTGGCAAAGCGGCAAGGTATTTTAACGACTTTTTCTACCTAGTAAACAGTACAATTTCTTATCAGTTCTAATTGTTCTTCCATCCAGGTTGAAGGAAATCATGGAGTACACAAGCTCGCCAATGCTACAAACATCTGGAGAGTATGTATCTCTTGTGGAAAGGGACGAATTAGATTCCGACGAAGAGGATGATGGTTCATTTGCTAATCGAAGCGCTCAAGTGCGATAGTGAATCAGTAGCGTTTCTGCACAATAGTAACTTTATAGAACTTTTTTTTTTGTAAAAATTGCATCATGTAAAGTAACATATCTAAGTTCACGGTGAATTAACTAAGGGTCCAATGTGCTTCTTAAGATTGAGAAGTGGTTATATTGAAAATCTACGAGTAGTTCGGCTAGCAACTGTTCTTTCTTCCCACTATTTGCCTTACTTTTCGTGGTCGTTCGGCGGCTAATATGATCTCTAGCTATACTTTTCGATTGCTGTAGTGTGGCACTTATACTACATGATCCCGCTGATATTGTGATGCCTTCTTACCTCGGTTCGAAGTTTCTTGCGATAATATAAGATTTATTACAGTCGTTTGCAACATGGAACAACTTCTATCAAACGATTTCCAAATAAACAGCTCAGAAAACTATTGATCAAATGATTTAGTACAATAAATGTGACAATGTATTGAGTTGCTGCCCATTTGAGAAGCTCCCAAATATCTGTCTTATACGTGAACTCATCCTCAGAGATGACAACTCTCAGTTTTAAATGGATTTGGCTGTCCTGACTGCTCGTTTGGAATTGCATTTTCCTTTAATGTGAAGCAAATCAAACCATAATCGTAAGGTGGAAAATGTACTTTTGTTGGGTGGATAGTTAAGATGTAGTGTTTGCATGTACTCGTTGCGAGGATACGGGTCACTGGAGTCGCCTCATCGGGACTGGGTCATAGCACAAACGACAACCTTGGTCACATGTGTGGGAACGCCACCACTTATGCGGAAGAAGTGAGGGATGCTAAAGCGCCTACAATTTCAACGAGATGGCCCAACCGATGTCGCGACTAATTCCTGGCACAGGTTGGAGGGGTTGGTCGATGAGATTCGAAAATCGTAAAAACCAAAATGCCTCCCAGTCTCAAAGCCATTTGGGACCGGGTGCAGTGCAGACCCCGGAAGTCAGCGGTTCACCTTCCTTGGGCAGGAAGTCCCTGGGCTCTCAATATTTGGTTGCAAGAAAGGGGTAAGAGTTTGGAGAACTTTGAAGTGGGCTTTGGGTAGGCTTTCTACAACTGTAAGCGAAATTAGTGAGGATATATGAAAGAAATTCGTAAATCCTCTTCGTGCCCAAGTTTGCCACTTCAGTCAACAAAGGTGGAACTTGCCTGTTTAATCGGACATTGAAGGGCAGCTTAGTGATTCTGAGCGCAAGCTCATGCGGAGTGTAGTGTTCAACATCTCGACGGTCCCCTTCGATCACTTTGTAATATTCTCTCCATCTGAAACCTTATAAAAGTTCGACACATGTGGCCATCCCACTACAAATTCCCCCGAGGTCGAATGTGGTCAATATAAGTCGGCAAAGAAGTGATCCCTGAGATAGTATGGAATTACCTGAAGGGCATTGTCTGGTCGGCAGCTAGTCGTCCAAAAACTGCCACTGCCGAAGTGGTATTGAGCAATGGCAAGGAACCATATAGAGCAACTTCCGCCTTAATCATTTCTGTCAGAGTTGCTAGTCAATCTTTTAAGTAAGTTGGTTATTGTTTATTTGTTGTTTATTGTCGTTATTGTCCGTTTATTGTCTGCCTTTTTAGGTATAAAAATTATTGCCTTTGTTTCGTTCTCATCTAAGTTTGCCAATACATAGACGACGATGAAGGGAAGGCCCCAGCCACTCACTCCATCCTAACAATAAGTGGACCTCAACATGTTACAGCAGTATCGTTTTTCCAGTAGCTAGTGTCTGGACGGTTAATCGAGCTGGAGTCGAACGGTGTTTGGCTGTTCTAACGTCTTTCTGATTTTTTTTGACTCTCGATTTTCTTCATTCACTTGGTTCAGTAATGACTTTGGTGGCGCAATAATTAGAAAATTAGTTTTGTAGTGTCGACTTTACGCAATGCCTTCTTTCAAGCAAAGCCTGACTGACATGTCTCTTCAGCGGGTACAGGAGGAGCCACAATTGCTTAATAGACTGAATACCGTTATAAATGGGTAGCCCTACACAAATAAAAGGGAACAAAACGTCTATCATCCATTACCTAATTATAATTGAGGTTGATTATCTCACATAGTAGGATTGCTGATCCCAATCATAACTTGCAAGGGAAGGAAACAAAATCACTTCACCAATTTAGAGATAGCAGTTTGCGGAATTCAGAAAGAAGTGCATAGACAGAAAATCATTAAACTACCCTACCCAAAAATTCAAAAATTTCCTCAAAGGATGACTCGCCCTGGAGCATGGGCGAGAGTGTGGACCAATTTTGTAAAATACTTGAAAAAGGATTGGTCTACGAAGACCTATGTTGCGGAAGATTCGGCAGGTCATCGGTATTACGAAATAAGGAATACTAGACAAAATTTGACACGTAGTTATGATCCACCGCCTAACGCACCAGTGTCTCAACCGAGCTTAGAATGGCAATCCTGGTTGAAAGGCACTAGACGCTGCGAAGAAGAAGTACAACTGAATCAAATGAGGCAACAGGCACAGTTAGAACAAAATGCGTCA